AAAAAATTAGCCGGCCGTGGTGGTGGTGCCTGTAGTCCCAGCTACTTAGGAGGCTGAGGCAGGAGAATCGCTTGAACCCGGGAGGCAGAGCTTGCAGTGAGCTGAGATGGCGCCACTGCACTCCAGCCTGGGCAACAGAGCAAGACTCTGTCTCAGAAAATAAAAGAAGAAGAAGAAGTGATACTGAGGTCAGGCGCGGTGGCTCATGCCTGTAATCCCAACACTTTGGGAGGCCGAGGCACACGGATCACCTGAAGTCACGAGTTCAAGACCAGCATGGTCAACATGGAGAAACCCCGTCTCTACTAAGAATACAAAAACTAGCCAGGCGTGATGGTGGGCGCCTGTAATCCCAGCTACTTGGGAGGCTAAGGCAGGAGAATCACTTAAACCCGGGAGGCAGAGGTTGCAGTGAGCCAAGATCACTGCACTCCAGTCTGGGCAACAAGAGCGAAACTCTGTCTCAAAAAAAAAAAAAAGTGATAGTAACTTGTTGGGTTGAAGAGGGACTCTGCCCTAGGTATAGAGACTCTTCATATGAAGGGGAAGATACTTTATATTGATCTTCACAGCCAGGCACAGTGGCTCACACCTGTAATCCCAGCACTTTGGGAGGCCAAGGCAGAAGGGTTGCTTGAACCCAGGAGTTCAAGGCCAGCCTGGGCAACATGGTGAGACCCTGTCTCTACAAAAACAAACAAAAATTAGCTGGGTATGTTGGAGCCTGCTAGTGATCCCAGCTACTCAAGAGGCTAAAGCAGAATGATCACGTTAGCCCAGGAGTTCAAGGTTGCAGTGAGCCATGATGGACCCACTGCGCTCTAGCCCGGGCTAAGAAGTAAAACTCTGTCTCTCAAAAAAGAAAGAAGAGGCCGGGCGCGGTGGCTCAAGCCTGTAATCCCAGCACTTTGGGAGGCCGAGACGGGCGGATCACAAGGTCAGGAGATCAAGACCAGCCTGGATAACACGGTGAAACCCCGTCTCTACTAAAAAATACAAAAAACTAGCCGGGTGAGGTGGTGGGCGCCTGTAGTCCCAGCTACTCGGGAGGCTGAGGCAGGAGAATGGCGTAGACCCGGGAGGCGGAGCTTGCAGTGAGCTGAGATGCGGCCACTGCACTCCAGCCTGGGCGACAGAGCGAGACTCCGTCTCAAAAAAAAAAAAAAAAAAAAAAAAGAAAGAAGAGACCCTCCATGCCTCTCCACCTCCATTAAGGGGAGGGAGCACTCCACCAGAGGCCCCCTAATCCACCTCCCTTCCTTTCCAGCATCAAAGTAACCATAAAAATCTTCTTCCTTCAGAAAGCCCTCTAGGATTGCACTGCCTCTAGGAACTTCTTCCTTCTGCCTCTTCTCTTTGATGCCCTGTGACCACAGCTGAGTCCTGTACCCTACTTCCCATCTTCTCCCTGCTCTCCTCTTCCTCTGCAAGGGATATAAATACCCCTGGACCACTTTCAGGTAGACCTGAAAGGTCCAGGGTGTAGCTGGAGCAAAGAGTGTTCATGAGAGAAAACGTATTTTTTATTTTTATTTTTTAGAGACAGGGTCTCACTATATTGTTGCCTAGGCTGGTCTCGAACTCCTGGCCTGAAGCGATCCTCCCACCTCAGCATCACAAAGCACTGGGGTTAAAGGCATGAACCACCATGCCCAGTTGGAGAACATCTTACTCATACCTCCCTGTCTCTCCTGTTTTACATATGGGTAGGGTCAACCCAGGATGCCCAGTTAAATTTGAGTTTTAGATAAGCATCATGAATAATCTCTTAGTATAAGTGTGCCACAAATATGGCATGAGACATACTTATACTAAAAAAAGCCATTGTGTATCTGAAATTCAAATTTAATGGGGCATCCTGGATTTGTATTTGCTAAATCCATCAACCCTATGTATGGGTAAACTGAGGCCCTGGGAGATGGAGCATCAGTATTATGTTCAGTTGCAGAGCCAGTCAGTGTGGTGGTGGCTCAAGCCCCACTCCCCTTACACACACATACACACACACACACACACACGCTGACTCTGGGTCCTGGCGCTGGCCGTGAACAGGTGTCTGTCCAACGTAGCAGACTGAAGTCCACTAGTAGGAGACCACGTGACATGAGACTCATGCAAGACAGGGAACAGTGGGCAGAGATGGCCAAATGGGCCCACCAGGACGTGTGAGGCGGGTGGAAGCAGCAGGAGGTGTCTTCGTCTGCTTCCTTCTCAAGATGCATCACCCACCACCACCACTGCCCACCCCCAAGCAGAATGAATTCCAAATGGGGTGTGGGGCCGGCACAGTGGCTCACGCCTGTAATCCCAACACTTTGGGAGACTGAGGCAGGCAGATCACTTGAGGCCAGGAGTTTGAGACCAGCCTGGCCAACATGGCAAAACCCCGTCTTTACTAAAAGTACAAAAAAAATGGCTGGGCGTGGTGGCACGCACCTGTAGTCTCAACTACGTGGGAGGCTAAGGCAGGAGAATCTCTTGAACCCAGGAGGTGGAGGTTGCAGTGAACCAAGATCGCACCATTGCACTCCAGCCTGGGTAACAGAGCAGGACCTTGTCCCAAAACAAACAAATAAATGGTCTGTGGGCAGAATCTGATCGACACAGGGTCTCTTCTGGGCTCAGCCTCATCCTCCGGCATGTCCCCGGCCTTCCCCCTCCACCTCCTGCCATCACCACGGGACTCTGGGGGACATTATTAGCAGGATCCCTTCTGCCTCTGCTACCCCCCACTAGCTGTAGAAGGAAGGCAGCCCGTGGGGCCGGGAGGAAGCTGCCTCATTGCTGGGTAGCAAGGCTGTGCAAGCCCTTTCTTCTTTCCATCCCACACTGCCCGCTTCTGGCCAAGCGGTGGCCACAGGGATCCTTCCTTCCACCCCACACGGCCCCTTGAAGCTGGCAGGCAAGCTGAGGTCCTGAATGCCCCCTTCCCAGATGGCGCCTACTCCACAGGACCTCTGAGGACTTGGAGGCCACCATCCTGGACTTCGAATCTGATACCACCGCTGGCCTCTCCCGCTCTCTCGCTGGGCTGCTACGCTGAGGGTGTTTAAGGATGTTTGTGGAGTAAATGTAAGAGTCCAGGCCAGGCGCGGTGGCTTGCACCTGTAATCCCAGCACTTTGGGAGGTCGAGGTGGGAGGATCGCTTAAGATCAGGAGATAGAGACCAACCTGGGCAACATAGTGAGAACCCATTGCTTGAAAAAAAAAAAAAAAAAAAAAGAGTTGAGAGGACACAGCACTAAGAGCAAGAGAGGGGAATCAGTGGGCTCTCGGAGGCAGGAAGGGCCTCAGGGAGGGGTGAGGAATGGGGGCTCAGGGAGGGGAATGGGTTTTAGGGAGGGGATGTGATGTCAAGGGCAGGGAGGGCGGGGGCTTGAGGGGGGACTCAGAGGGAGTGTGGGATGAAGCTGGTCAAAGAGGGAATGAATGGGACTCAGTGAGACAGATGAGAGAGAGAGACAGGAGATAGAGAGAGAGACAGAGGGAAAGACAGAGAGGGAAAGAGAGGAGAGGGAGAGGGAGAGAGAGGGAGGGAAAGGAGGGGGAGAGACAGAGAGAAGGAAAGAGAGAAGAGAAAGGGAGAGAGAAGGGGGAGAGAGACAGACAGTGAGAGAGGGAAAGACAAGGCGGGAGAATGAGAGAGAAAGAGGAGAGAGGGAGAGAGAGAAAGAAAATGAGAGAGAGAGAAGAGGGAGAGAGTGAGAGAGAGGAGAGAGAGAAAAAGGGAAAAAGAGAAAGGGGGGAGAGAGAAAGAGGAGGGGGTAGAGAAAGTCAGAAAGAGAGAGAGAGGGAGAGAGACTGAGAGACAGAGAAGAGAGAGAGGGAAAGAGAGGGAGGAGAATGACAGAGAAAGAGAGGGGAGAGGGAGAGAGAGAAAGAGAAGAGAAGGGAGAGAGGGAGAGGAGGGGGTAGAAAGTAAGGGAGAGAGAGAGAGGAGGGTGGGAGAGAGGGGAGAGAGGGAGAGAGGAGAGAGGGGGAGAGAGGGAAAGAGAAGACAGAGGGAGAAAGACGGGAGAGAGAGACAGAGAGAGGAGGAGGAGGGGGGAGAATGAGAGAGAAAGAGGGGGAGAGAGACAGAGAGAGGAGGAGGAGGGGGAGAATGAGAGAGAAAGAGGGGGGAGAGTGAAAAAGAAGGGGGATAGAGAAAGGGAAAGTGAGAGAGACAGAGGAGAGAGAGGGAGAGAGACAGAGTGAGAGACAGAGGAGAGAGAGAAGGAAATGGGGGGAGAGAGAAAGAAAGTGAGGGAAGAGGGAGAGAGAGATGAGCCTGGAAGAGAGAGGAGAGAGGGAGAGGAAAGGGAGGGGGGAGAGAGAGAGAGAGAGAGAGAGAGAGAGAGAGAGAGCAGGGAGAGAAGAGAGTAAGAGTGAGAGATGAGAGTGAGAGAGAGTGCTACGCGGGGGACTAGGAGGAGGTTCAAAGCCGGGCTGGGGCTCAAGGAGGAGCCCGAGGCGGTCCCAGCGTCTTCCTCTGCCCACCTAGGGTGGCCCCACACCTGCGGCTCCTCCCTCCCCGAGCCCAGCCCGCGGTTGGGGGCCGGGCACCGAGCCCCCGGGTAGAGTAGAGAGGGTTAAAGGTGAGCGGGCACGAGCTGGCAGCAGACGGGGATTGGCAGGCGCCCTAGCCCAGGGCCCGGGCCATGGCTGCCCCACAGGCCTCTGAGCGGCTGAGCGGCTGCCGCCCACGTGCTAAGGAGAGAAGGAGGCACCGGATCAAGGGGCAAAGGACACCTCGGAGCGGGGCGGGGGTGCCCACGTCCACACCCGCTGCTAAAAGCCCGGCCCGCGGCGCAGCGCACGGAGCCCTCTGCCGCCCGCACGGGGAAGGCGCCGAGCGCCGCCGGGCGGCCCCGAGCATCCCCGCAGCGCCCTCGCCGCCCTCCCCCAGCCGCCCGCCAGGACCCCCGGCACTGGCCGCGCCGCGCCCCTCTGCAGGTCGAGCGGATTCCAGGTGAGGGCGTGGAGCCCCCGCGTCATCAGGTGGGTGCAGGGGCCTTACCCAAGGGGAATTAGATCCGCTTCTGTGCTGGGCCTCAGTTTCCCCTCTGCCCATAGAGGCGCGTGTCCCTGGCTCAGCTGGGCTGAAGGGGTTCACAAGCTTATGTGGCCTCCTCGCTCAGCCTCAGCTGCCAGGAGGAAGGAGGCAAACTCGTACCCCAGGGAGGACTCCGGATCAGGAATCCAAGAGTTCATCCTGCTAGAGGGTGAAGTGCACACGGGTCCTGGAAGCCCCGTGTCTCCCACTGGCTGGGCTGGGCTTCCACCGTGCCTCCCACTGGCTGGGCTGGGCTGGGCTGGGCTGGGCTTCCATCGTGGTCTGGGAAGTTCTCCCAGGAGCTGAGAGGGGGCCAAGGGAATCAGGAAGGAAGGCCTTCCTCCCTCTGGCTCCCCCTGCCCTGGGCAGGTGACATGCCAGTGGAGAAACCCTGCCCAGGTGGGCCCTGGGATCAGGAGTACCCAAGCTTCCCCTGGCTGGGACAGAAAGAAGCCAGATGGCAGGGTGGGGTATGTGGATTCTGGCCCCTAGGCTTCTAGCCAACAGGTAGGGGCCACAGAAGTGGTGGCCGGCACTCCCACTGCTCTGCCCCCAGGAGGGGGAAAGCCAGAGCTTCCTCCCAGCCACCCTGTCCCACCTCTGGGCTGGGTTTGGGAGCTTTAGGGTTCTTGTCTGCATCTGGTTGTGTGACCTTGGGCGCACGACTTTCCATCTCTGGGCCTGGCTCTCCCTCCGTGACATGGGAAGGTTTACTGTTCCTGGGCCACTCGTGTGGAGATGGGGACAGAATCAAATGGGACACTAGGTTGCTTTGGAGGACAGGGTGGCCCACTCCAACCAAGTCCCTCTGGTCCTTCACAAGGGGGATGGTGTTACAGGGTCAGCTGAATCAGGAAGTCAGGGAGACCAAGGATCTATGAGAGCTAAACTGGTCCCCACTTTGCCCAAGAACTTATCTTATACTCAGCAACTCCCCTGCCCCATGTCCTGCCCAGGCCCTCAGATGCAGGAGAAGGCCCAGAATACAGGTCTAGGAATCTCAGGTCTGCCCCAGGGAAGCTCAGCTCCTCAGCCTAGGGTAGCTCCGGGGAGAGGAGGAAGAGTCTGTAATACCAACTGTAGTAACCAGGAGTTTCCCCATCTTGAGAAGATAACCCATCTCACTTCTCCCTAATTCCCCTCTAAGGACACAGTCTACTGGCTGAGCCAGGCCAGGTTGCGGTTTAGAATCGGGGTCGGGGCTCAGGCTGGGGTTGGAACTCAGTCTGGGGACCACATGGGAGGGCAGCTCAGAGCCAGGGTCCAGGAACCATCCGCCTGGGGTTTTGGAATCCTGCGATTGAAATCATCTGGCTGATATAGGGGTGGCACTGGTGGAGGTGATGTTTGTCAGCTGAAGTGGAGGGCAGGCATATGAGCTTCTGCAGGCTGCAGAGTGGAATGGAAGAGTGGACTGGAAGCATGGAAGTGGGAGAGGTCATGTCTCCGAGGGTCCTGCAGCCACACCTGCCCAGAGTCTCTAGCGCCTTCAGGCAATCGCCTTCCCTGGGTCCCCTCCCCCGGGCTGTCTTTGGCCCTGTTGCCAGCCCTGTGGTGGGTAAAGACAAGCTTAGGCATGTGTTGGGTTTGTCAGGGACTGGGAGAGGCCACCATTAGTGCAGTCCTCACTCCCTGATTAGGGCCAAAGAAAAAGTTTTGGCTACAGACGTGGGGCAGAGGAGGGAGGAGAGAGGGGACATGCAGGCTTAGGATTGCTGTTCAGATAGGAGAAGAGGAACTGGCGTTTGCTATGCATTTACTGCTAGCCAGGCACTGCATAAGCTTTTCTGGCACTGTTTCCTTCTTCCTGATAACCAGAGAAGGAAAGGATCTCCATTTTACAGACGAGGAAACGGGCTCAGAGAGGTCAAGGCTCTGGTTGAAGGTCACACAGCCTGGGAGCGGCAAGGCTGATATTCAAACCCAAGCATCTTGGCTCCAAAGCCCTGGTTTCTGTTCCCACTACTGGCAGCGACCTTGGCAAGCACTGTCCTCCTCTGGGCTTCACTCTGCACATCTGTAACCTGGGGTTAAACGGGCTTGCCTGGATTGTTGGGCAGAGCTGGGAGGTCTGGAAGCAACATGGGTGGTGTATTCTCTGCGTTCAGGGAGAAACACACAAGAGGGGATTACATTGGCTGACCCCCAACCTCCCAGGTCAGCTCATGGGTGTCCATGTGTCCTGCGCCCACCTCACCCACCTCATCCCCCTCCCCACCCATCTTTCCCACTCCTGAAACTTAGGGGCAAGGTGGCTCTGTCTCTCCTCTTTGAAGTTAGCTAAGCTGACCTTGGAGAAGGGGGCCCCCAACAAGGGAAGAGTGAACAGAATATTCCCAGGGTAGGTCTTGGCACTGATAAATAAGAGACAGGAAAGTACTGCCCTAGGGCCAGAGGCAGTGGCTCGCACCTGTAATCTCAACACTGGGAGGCCGAAGTGGGAGGATTGCTTGAGTCCAGGAGTTCAAGACCAGCCTGGGCAGCATAGAAAGATCTGTGTCTCTGCAACAAATTAAAAACTTAGCCAGACATAGTGGCATAGGCATATAGTCATACTCAGGAGACTGACACAGGATCATCACCTGAGCCCAGGAGTTTGAGGCTGCAGTGAGCTATGATGGCACCACTGCACTCCAGCCTGGGCAACAGAGTGAGAACCCTTCTCTTTTTTTTTTGAGACGGAGTCTCGCTCTGTCGCTCAGGCTGGAGTGCAGTGGCCGGATCTCAGCTCACTGCAAGCTCCGCCTCCCGGGTTCACGCCATTCTCCTGCCTCAGCCTCCTGAGTAGCTGGGACTACAGGCGCCTGCCACCACACCCGGCTAGTTTTTTGTATTTTTTTTTTTTTTTAGTAGAGATGGGGTTTCACTGTGTTAGCCAGGATGGTCTCGATCTCCTGACCTCATGATCTGCCCGTCTCGGCCTCCCAAAGTGCTGGGATTACAGGCTTGAGCCACCGCACCCGGCCAGAGAACCCTTCTCTAAAAAAAAAAAAAAAAATGTTCTACCTGGAATCCCAGGCCTCCCCCTCCTAGCTGACTCTGGCAGTCACAAAAGTTCTTGTCCCATACTCAGCCCCATCAGCAGTGTGACTCTGGGTGAGAGAGATGCTTCCTGGGATCCACTTTCTATCTCAGTCCAGGGGCCTGATACCCTGATGGGGGTGGCATGGGGCCAGTTATCCAGCAGGGGAGAGGCCAGGAGATTCTGGGCAGAGCAGAAGATGACTGTCACCTGTTGCAACAGTCTGAGAAGCTTTTTCCATCGCTGAGTCCCCTAGAGGAGGTTGTCGCCCTATCTTCTGTGTCCTACAGCTCCTGGTTCTCTGACATTGTAATCAGAGGTGTCGGCCAGAAAGGAAGGAAAGAAGAAAGAGCGGGATGGGGGGAGGAAAGGGGGGACGGAAGAAAAAAAAACCCCACATTTACCAAGGTACCACTGGCTCTCACTCACATATTTCATTTCATCTTTGCAACAACTGCGTAATAACGTCACATAATCATAGCCATTTTAAAGATGAGAATACCGGCCGGGCACAGTGGCTCATGCCTGTAATCTTAACACTTTGGGAGGCCGAGGCGGATGGATCATCTGAGGTCAGGAGTTCGAGACCAGCCTGGCCAACATGGCAAAACCCTGTCTCTACTAAAAATACAAAAATTAGCCAGGCACGGTGGCAGGCGCCTGTAATCCCAGCTACTCGGGAGGTCCTAAGGCAGGAGAATCACTTGAATCCGGGGGGCGGAGGTTACAGTGAGCCGAGATCAAGTCACTTCACTCCAACATGGGAGAAAGAGTGAGACTCAGTCTCAAAAAAAAAAAAAAAAAAAGACAAAACTAGTCCTCAGCCAGGTGCAGTAGCTCACGCCTGTAATCTCAGAGCTTTGGGAGGCCAAGGCAGGAGGATCGCTTGAGGCCAGGAGTTTGAGACCAGTCTGGGAAGCCTGGTGAGACTCTGTCTCTACAAAAAATTAACCAAGCATGGTGGCGGCACATGCTTATAGTCCCAGCCACTGAGGAGGCTGAGGCACAAGGATTGCTTGAGACCAGGACTTTGAGACCAGCCTGGGCAACATGGTGAAACCCCATCTCTACAAAAATGTTTAAAAATTAGCCAGGGGTGGTAATGCACCCCTATAGTTCCAGCTACTTGGGAGGCTGAGGTGGGAGGATCACTTGAAGCAGGAGTTCGAAGTTGCAGTGAGCCATGGTGGTGCCACTGCACTAAAGCCTGAGCAACAGAGCAACACCTTGCCTCCAAAAAGTAAAATAAAGTGTCTACTATGTGCCAGCTGTCCTCTCTGTCCTAGTACCTGCTGATTAGCTCAGTCTTGGGTGAATTGACCTGACACATGATGTTTGCAAGGAGGCCTAAGGGACAGGTCATCCTTCAGTTCCACCAAGCAGCCCAGCAGAAGGACATGCTTGGGCTCTGCCATCAGACACAACCGGGTTCATATTTGGGCTACGCTACTCATGAACTGTGTAACCTGGATGACTGTCCTAATCTTTCTAACGTATTTCACTAGATGAGAGAATCAAATAAACATGTCTCTGAACCTTAATGTGCTGTGTACAATAGGCACTCTCAGCCCTGAGCAACAGGCTGGTTGAGCAGATTGATGGATGAGACTCAATAGCAAATACACAGGGCCAGGCAGCCCACTGGAATCCCTGGTTGTGGTGCAAGGGGAAATATATTTGTGGTCTTTGACTGTGGCTCCTGGCACAGAACTCCTACAACCCTTGGAATCTCCAGAATGCTGAGAGTGCCTTTTGTAAGTTATTAAGAGGACTGGTGACTGGAGGCCCCTAGAGAGTTTCAGGATGAGGGCTGTTCACTAGAAAGACCGAGGCATGATTAGAGGATTGGAGCTTTCAGCTCCCTGCCCCCACAAACTTTGGGGAGAAGAGAGGGTTGGAGAATGTGTTTAATCACCAGTGGTCAGTGATTTAATCAATCATGTCTACGTAATGAAACTTCCAGCGACCAGGCAAGGTGGCTCACACCTGTAATCCCAGCACTTTGGGAGGCCGAGGTCGGAGGAGCGCTTCAACCCAGAAGTTCAAGACCAGCCTGGGCAACATGGCAAGACCCTGTCTTATAAAATAAGTAAATAAATAAAGGGCCAGGCACGGTGGCTCACGCCTGTAATCCCAGCACTTTGAGAAGCTGAGGTGGGTGCATCATCTGAGAT